GAAAGCGCAGTACCAAAAGCTTGAGCAGCTTTGCCACCGTTTCGATGCGCTAGAAGATGTAACGATAAAACGGCATTGCTAGGAAGCCGGGGGTTAGAGTGCAGGTTACCCCGCCCCTCAGCTGGCGCGTAACTTGCGTATTTCGGCTCGCCGTTTGTCTACAGGTGTGTAAATATGCCAAAGTGTTCGCCTTGTTTGCCCCAGAATTTTGGTATACTAAATACCCGGTAGGATAACGCGAAGCCGAGATACGGTAGGTGGGGGTCGGCTGGGGGGGGGGTGGCAAACGGCATTTAAAACCTGGGTGGTAGGGGAAGACGCCTTTAATGAAGGCTAACTTAAAGGGACCAGGACGATCCATGTCGATCAGCAGATTGCTTCTAGGGGCTTTCCCAGCGATCATGAATGACGCCAAGAAGAGCATTGGTTATTACAGCTTTTCCACCGTCGCAACTCGCGGAACTGCGGAACAAGCCCGAAGGACCTGGTCGCCAAGTTGAAGGAGCTTTTGAAGATCGAAAGGGAAGATGAGCGAAACCTGGAGAAAATCGAGACGAAGGGTGGTAGGTATTATAGGCAACACTCGATTGCAAAAACCACTTTAAACATCAACCGTTGGCCGTTTAACTATGAAACCAACCTAAAGTTCTTACAATGAGTTGCTTTGGATAAGAGACATAGTTCATTCGATGGATTCTTGATTTGTTTATTTTTGTTTAATTATTATTTTATTTATTTTATGAAAATTTAATTCTGAACAAGCCACCAGGGTTCGGTTTTGCGGAAATGTAAGTAGAAAACTAAATTTTCCGCAATTTAGATTTTAATATCAAAGCCTCTTTTTTAGGTTTCTAAAAATCGGGGGCGGTCAGTTTTCAAATCGGAAAGCCTGATCGGGTTCATATTTCAAATTTTCTCCATCGAATAAGCCCTGTCTGGAATAATTTTGCCAATGACTCAAAAAGGACAGTCCTCCTGCACAACAAGCCTACTGTACCAGTTTTCGATAAAACCTCCAATTGGAGTATTATTCAGCGGCAGCTCTCCTACTCAAGGCGCTTCGCGAGCTAGATGCCAACCTCACCACCGCGTAAGAGGCGACGTTGAAATCTTTTTGTACAATTTTTGTTCTAGCTGTTTGCCGCAAATTATTCTACAGGAAGGGATGCTCTCGCAGAACCACACAACCGCCTTTCTGAAAATGATTAGCGCAAATATCATCGGGATGGTACGTCAATTCCAGCCGAGAAATTTCGAATTTCGGCATTTAAAAACTGGGTGGTAGGGAAGACGCCTTTAATGAAGGCTAACTTAAAGGGACCAGGACGACCCATGTCGATCAGAGAAACCGAGAAATTTCGAATTTTGGATAAGACGAAGCAAAACGCTTAACAGAAAACGACTAGTCTTCTTCCAAGATGGCTTTGAAAATTCACAATTTTTCGGTGGAAATCGCGACCGTCTGCTACCCAATCAGCATGCCACAAATATCCAGCGACAACCGTCTACGAGCGCTGCAGGATCGACTGCAGTCCGCGCTAGAGTTCATTTTGAACTACCTGGACGAAGGGATGGTAAGCGCCCAAATATCTGTAAGAACTCCAATACCAACCTAATAAGCATTGTCGGAAAGGAGACTATATGTAGTTACTAACTTTTTGATTGAACTATTTTACAAGCAAAAACCCGACAAAAAACTTAATAAGATGGGCTAAGTGTCGCGGCGTTCGACAGCAGGGCTCTCAAAAAATCGCTGCTTGACCGATGCTCTTGCCCCGAAGGCTAAAGGTCATATCTCAAAAGCCCGCGAAGCGGTCTTTTTCCGCTGGTTCAAATTTACTCGCCATTCGCAGGCATTGGTCGACTTTCAGATGAAGATTGGGGAGATCGAGGGCGAGTTGCTGGAGAGATACGTCACCTCAGAGCGCAAAGAACCGAATCTGCAGCAGAAATTGATGAATGTGCGCCAGAAGATGGAAAATCATGGACCATACGGGTTAGTGGCTTCGTCTTGTTTCGTCCAGAACGGCTGCCGTGGAACTTTAAGCTTTTTTCTGACCTATTCTGGACCAAAAACAGTAGTGGAAGGCACCTCATTCGCTCAACAGGCCATTTCGTGTCAATCCAAAATTATGTCAATGCCATGGGAAAATGGCTGAACACTTTCAGCATCTTGAGAATCTACACGGCGTGGAAGAAACACCCGGATTTCGGCTGTGAAGGTAGATGCACGCACTACACGGTGGATTCCGAACACTACATGACGATACGCTACGAAAACCGTCCAACCAATGCAAAGAACCCCGACTTTGTCACCGCGGCGAAATCGATCAAACGGCGCTGGTACCAGTTGAATTGTGTGTCGAGGTAGGTCTCGGCGATACCCGGGGACTAGTCTTCGCCCTTCCTTAAGACCGAACTTCTTTCATGGCGTCTTTAAATTATCATCGGAGCGCAAAACTTTTTATTAGGCTTTAAAAAAGTTCTGGCGTTTTTGGATTTGAATCGCCTTTTCAAAAGCGGTATTGATATCACGGCTGAAGGTAGTATACTGTACTCTTTGTGCTCTAGACAATGGCTATAGTAGCTTTGTTTTATCAAATTTTCATCGGTCTTAGAGGGTCTGAAAGCTGGGATAAAAATGGCCTTATTTTCTTTCCTTGAGGAGCGGCGTGGAACCCGAGTGAAAATAGCGTTCGACCCAGCTTAAGAAGCACTACAAAAAGTCTCGTAAAACTTGTGCTTCAAAAATTATTTCGTTCATAAGACCGATTCAAAATTGGTCATAATCCAAATGATTTTGAAAAAGTTTTTTTTTACGTTTCGTCTCATGGAAATTGGATAAATACCAAGGCTACACCAAGCTCGTATAAAAATCTCAAGCCATTTTTATGGTTTATTAGGTTGAAATGTAATCTATGGAGCCAAAAATGACCAAAACTAGCCAAATTTTGATCGGTCGTATCTCCCCCACGCGACAGTGACATTTTTGGCCAACCTTGGCACTCACCCGGGGGCGCGAAGGCAGCTAAAGCTTTATCAGGGCCCATCCGCTGTATTTAGTGGTTGCGGGGCATTTCCGCTCCTGCACTGCGCCAATGAACTGGGCATGTACATGCGCAACGAATTTGTGCAAGCCTTTGTCGTGACCGGGATCGCTTTGAACGAGTCCGCCATCATCCTCGAGCCCGGTCAGTTTTCTTATAAAGTTGAAGAAAAGATGCGAAAAATAGGCTAACAAAGAAAGAGTGAGAGAAAGAGAGAGAGAACGAGAGAAAGAGAGAGAGAGGGAGGAGGGAGAGAAAGAGAGAGAGAGAGAGCGAGAGAAAGATGCCACGTTCCCAGGTGTGACGTTATTGCTCTGCAACTGCACCGTCATCGTCCCCAATTTCTGGCGCGGACCGCAAGAAATTTTTTTCAGGGCGAACAACCAAGCTCGAGGCTTACCATGGGGATTCGGAGGCAACCTGGACCTTCCCTACAAACGATGACCCGGAAAATGAGAGCTCCGCGAATCGCATCACATTCTATCCCTAGCATCATTGCGGGGGGCTTACGAGCAATAAATCGTGATTTTGGCAGTTAGAAAAACTTAACCAACCGGCTCGAATCCGGTTTATATACCGTGCTGTCGAAGGGGGTGTTTTTGTCGGCCTGTTTCTGCAAAAATCGTGTGCTTCTTTCGGGTCGCTTCTGTGGTAATCTGGTCTCACTCGCACCCTGAGCGCTGGGATGTGGTCTTTTCAGAGAAATTCGATTCGAAAATTTTCAGAGAAAGAAACTTTTCCATCGCCATTCGGACTGAGGCCATTCGGGCACCCCTACCCCGGCCTCACACGGCCCATTTGCGTCAGTTTTTTTTAATGTATGCAAATGCGACCCACGCCCCCAAAAAGGATTAAAACCGGCTTTAACCTTGTATACTCTTATGTTATCGAAATTCTGAAAACGCAATCGGAAAGTGTTTTTATATGGTGCCACGACAGTTGCGGCCGGACACTTGCGGCCTGACATTTGCGGCCCTGACCAATGCGGCCGCAAGCCGTGGTTATTGACCCGACTTCAGCTTTTAATGGTCCGGTAAGCTAGTTCTCCCTCCGCTCAAAGCGAACCTCGAAAGTCACAGCTCCCACAGACACGCAGCCAGACACGCAAAAATTGTAGAAGGGAGGTGTCAGTTTTGGCGTCATGAGGGCCACATATCTTCCGATGTCAAAGTTTCTGTCCGCGATGACGCTAGGTCACGCCGCTAATCTGCAATTCTAACGATATTGCAGTCCGCGGCTATTTTGGATAAAGCTGGGGCCTGGGCCGCGGATTTTATTGCTTACATTATTTCTCAAACGTGTTCATAAAGGGCGGATCGCATGAAGGAGAACATTCGAGTACTGGCAGACTTTTTTCAAGTCTTTTGGCACCGTACATCTTCCAGATTACAGGACATGCTTGCGGCAAGAGCGATTTGGTTTCTATTGCTACCGTATGCCGTGCTTGGTCAAGCCGAGGGATCGGAGGCAAAGACGAAAGGTATATCCATTAAACGCGTATTAGGGGGGGGACGTAAAACTTCAATAATCGATGTGTTATTATGGTCAAATTTGAACAAAACACATTTAAATAAAAATACTGAACATAATAGGGTCGAGAAATGTTATGCGTAAAACTAAAATTAGCATTTCCCGTTTTCCCAAAAGTGCCTCGGAAAGCCCTTTGGGACATAGCAAGCTTTGCTGCATCTGTCGTCTGATGTCGTCTGCCATGGCGACAAAAGCTGTTTTTCAAAGGCTAAAATTAAAAGTTTTAAAAAAACCAAAAGTATCGGTAAAGGGTATCCGTAGCTTTCGGGAGCTGATATATCCCGGTACCGATACCCATAGTATCCGATAACAAGAGGGATACCATCTGATAAAACTTTACCTTACATAGTGCTAGTACTTAATTTTAGGCCTACACGCTTCCACGGTGGAAGAAGCCCGTCATTACCTTGACCTACTGTCGATGCGCAGTCCTGCTCTTCAAAAACTTGCTGAGAAGAAACGCGCTTTCCGCACTGCATTTGCCAACTATAGTGGTGTCGAAGCCAAAGACTTTTCTGATCCACCGCATACCTTCGAAACGTTTGGCGAAAAGATGCTCAAGTTCTCCGTAAAAAGCCTCTGCCCGGTGGCGGAGGAAGTGCTGCCTCTCTTCAAGGATACACCGAAGGTATCTTTTAATTATTAAAGATTTCGTGTGTGTGCAAATAGCAAATTCTCAGTCCATTTGTCTTTCAGGAGCATAGCGCAGAACGCGTGACGGCTGATGCGCTGGTAAAGACGGCAAGGGCGGAAATGCAACGTATAGAAGACGACATCAGTAATTTGAAGCTGCTCTTTTCAGACACGAAGGCTCGTATCGAATGGACACGGGTCAGTCTGAGTTCAAAACGTTGAAGAGCAAGCTTCTACTTTGAAGTATTTCTCAGATCGAGACCAAATTTCAGAGCCAGATCCAGATTTCAGAATATCCAAGAACAGTTGGTCAACATAAATGAAAAGATGCTCTACATCAACGACCCCAAAAACCGCGAAGAACGGCCATACTTCTTGAAAGAGTTCGTCAGCCTTTGCAGCTCTGGGCTTGCAAAAATCATCCAGGTATGCTTTCACTATTATCGCTGCCAATTGCCTGCACTAACAAGGGAAGGGCAAGTGCACGAAGTGGAAATTCGAAAAACGCCCGCGGCTACCCCTAGGTTTTCGCCTACGGCGATTCCGATGCGCTATTCAGAATTAGCCACCGAGGTCTGTAAAGCGAGTTACAGCACTTCCGGAAAAAGCGTAATTTGCATGCGCGTAATTAGAAAGCTACTAAGGGTTTATTAGGATCTTCCACGTATCTACCATCATCAGCTGTGAATTGGTCGAGTGCCAAGCCACTTTCTTTTTGAAATACCAACGGGGGGTTCGGATCCGCCCTGATTTTGTTTTTCTTTTTTGGAAATCAATTCGAAAATGCGATAGCTGGTGCGGGGATTTCAATGTTCTTCTTTTGTAATTTTTGGGTTGGACCTTGGATCTTGAATAGAATTTTTTCAACCATGAGGAAAACGGGGCGATAACCTGCAATACTAGGCTCCACACAGCAAAACAAAAACAATCGGGGCGGATTCGAACCCCCGTTGGTATTTCAAAAAGAAAGTGGCTTGGCACTCGACCAATTCACAGCTGATGATGGTAGATACGTGGAAGATCCTAATAAACCCTTAGTAGCTTTCTAATTACGCGCATGCAAATTACGCTTTTTCCGGAAGTGCTGTAACTCGCTTTACAGACCTCGATGGCTAATTCTGAATAGCGCACCGGAATCGCCGTAGTCGAAAACCTAGGGGTAGCCGCGGGCGTTTTTCGAATTTCCACTTCGTGCACTTGCCCTTCCCTTGTAAGCCAATGGCCAGGGAATTTTCATACCCTGGACGTACTAACCACAAAATCTTAATATACTTCAAACTTTTTCCAAGGACTACCGAAACTCGATCTACGACGACTGCGGCCAGGACCCAATGGGATTCGAGAAAAAGCTGCAGGCGACCCTTCGTGGCTTCCAAGTCAATGATGAGGCCAGCAGACAGCAGCTAAGAGGTCTTGATCAATTTCACGGATCGAGTTCGGTTTTAAGAAGTGACTTCCGCATTCTACAGGACCAACAGTGATCATGCCGATAAAGTGCTGACGAACCTCGGCGTCAAAACGCTAATGAACTCGGATGGGATCAAAGGTACATATCCTGGAGTATATAGGTAGTTGACACTTTTATGCACTAGCTTGAAATGCAAACGGAGATTTATGTCGTTGTAGGTGCGCAAAACCTGGCAGAAGTCCATGCAAAGGTTTCGACACTTGAAGGGCCAAATACGTGAGCAACGGCCATTGTTCGAGCTTAATATCAAACATTTAGATGCATGACGCAACTGTTCCTGCAAGAAAAACAGCTATCCCAACGAGCACTTAACGTCTGGTATGACGTCGTACGTTCTTCGGCGACAGCGATTGTAAGTTCGAAGCGTTGGGTTGATTGTATTTCCCTAAAAGCATTGTATATAAGCGATCCTAAAACGCTAAACGTCGCATAGGATTCCCACTCCCCACTCCCGATCGACACCTTTTTAAAATGGCCGACAAACGTTCTAAAAACTCGGAAAAAGGCGCCGGTCGCAGCCCCCATCTGAACTGTTCGGCCTTCGGCCGATTTCGTGGAGGGCGGGGGGGGGGGCGCTTATGGGCCATTGAAACCTGCGATTCACAGGTTTCAATGAAAACAAGCCATTCCGGATGTAAAGTTTAGCTAAATGCGGCGACAATGTGCTTCCCGCATCAACATTCCGACAAGACGACAATTGAGCGTGAGATGAAAAAACTGATGGAGAAGCTGGAGGAGCCCGTGAAAAAAATGGCCGTATATGTGAAGAAGCAATTGGTGGGGAGCATTCTGAACCGCTAAAAGAAGCCATTTCAGGAAAAAATTGGGGATGTGGAGCAGGGCTACCTAGATGCTCTTCGCGACCGAGATGCGTCCAAGTATACGCCGCGCGAGTGGGTCCAGGAGCTGCAGAAAATCTTTGATGACAAGGGACCTTACGGGTAACCGTTTTCGTATTTAGCGAACATGAGCTGTGTAGAGCTTTTTATTGAAGTTTACATTCATTCCGTTTCATGCCGCCGGCCTGTCACAGGCGCCTGCTAGTTCCAGATCCATGCCTTACCCGGGCTTCGCCGCACAAAACCCCAACACTTATCCAAACAAAGCGAAAAGTTTCAGAACCGTGCGTACTTATATAGCCGCCCGACAGAACGAGACCTCCGGCCACAATACGAACACCAGTTACGCGGTCTTTGCTGATATGGCCTCTTTCGTCATCCGGAATCCGGAACGCACCTGGCGCCCGATCAACCAGCAGGATTTTGATGAACATGTCAAGAACTTGAGGTCCGATCTACATTTATGAAGCAATCAGCTCCCAATTTTGTAGAGTTCCATTCTAGAGAATCCTTCATTTTTATAGCATGTTAACCTAAAAAAGCACTCACAAACAGGGGGCACTAAGCTTGGGATGCGCACGGCCGGCACTAATCTACGCTCCAGCTCCGACATGAACGCGAAAAAATTCGATGATGCACTGAGAACGGCACGGTTCCGGACTGTTAGCGGGTGATGGGGGGGTGATTTTAGCGGGGAAACCAAATTTTTACCTGTGGTTCTCTACGACGCCATAACTACATATAACCTATTTTTGTAGAATTTTCGATTCATTTGTAGCATCTTGAGGGCGTCTCCCAGAGGTGGAGGGGGAGGCTTTAACGGCACACGTGGTCCGCTAAACTTGGCATCAGAAGAGTAAAAAGCATTTTTTTTGGACACCCTATAGATGTTCGCTACTTTAGAATACGCTTTGCGTTCTAGTAATCCGGCTTACACTTCGCAAGGCGCCAACGCCACCGTCACGCAGTTGTACGAACAAGCTCATCGTCAACTGAGCAAAGATTTCCCGAATCACGCACTTGTGCTTCGACCAACGCCGTGCGCCCACATGGTGGCCGTCTTGGAACCAGGTAAGCGAGTAGAGTAGAGATCTAGGCAAACTGAGCAAAAAAAACGGAAACTGTTGTCTATTTTTTTTCCCCGATTAAATATAATAGTCAAAATCGGGATTATGAGGATCGACATTCTGTAAGTATTCATTCCGACAGTTTATAAAACTTGTTATTATAATTATAAACCTTGTACCTTGTAATAGCGACACTGGAGCGTATCTTGGCAATTGAGAAAAAGACCAAATTTCCAGGCGCGGCTATCACTGGCTCGTACGACGTGACGACCCACGAAACGCATATCTCGCGTCCAGGGATGGAGCTGACGTTTGTGGTCGCTCACCATAATTGAGCTCGCATGTCCGATAAATAAGCACCGCAATACACGTACTGTAGTACTGTAGACAGTAAGAAGCGCCTGGTAGCGGCGGTTAGCGAGTGGGCTTGGAGCACGCCGGCGCACGCCACAAGCCTAATAAGAGAGAAAGAGAGTGAGAGAGAGAGAGAGAGAAATGGCCTTTTTACTACACAAGGTGGAGCAAAAGTTCCTAGATCCTAGGTTTTCGGGCATCAAAGGACTTAATAGGGGAGCCCGAAAAACCCCGACTCAGAATTGGCTGAAACTTTACACACAGATAGAATCGACCACGCTAATCATCAACTCTTTTTTTCGAATTTGCTACTAAACTTAAAACTCGAGATATACCACATTTAAAGATATTTTTTAGTTAAAATCGGCAAACTTGGGCATGGATTATGTTGTTCTTCCCGGGCGATTTGCAAAATTAAGTATCGAAAACTGGAAAAATTGGAGAAAGAAACTTGCTTGGTCTGGACCCCGACGTGGTGTCCCAATAAAACGCGTCCCCCTAATATAAAAATTTGGGTTGGCGAGGTGACCGAAAACTTAAATTTTCCCGCCAAACCGCATCATTAGCATAAATATGCAATGTGTTCTCCCCAGTCGCATGATCGGTATAGGATTCTTGGCCATCATTGACATCCCGATACTCGTTTTGTATCCAAGACCGTCCTACAACCCCGATTCAAGCGCTTTTGACCGGAATTATCAGCTTAGGCCCTGTGTAAAGCCATGGAAGGTGTGTCCGGTCACTTTCAGGGCAACTCTTTTTAGGGACTCGCATAATCGATCGGGCTTATATTCTATCAAAGGTGCCAAAAAACTTTGAAGGTGAACAGATTGATTGGTTTTGTTTTTTTAAAAAACCGTCCATAGAGAAATGCGTGAAAATCTGGGCAAAAGAAGAGCGAATGAATCTTACGTTCTGGCACCGTGGCATCTGGTGGAAGGCCGATCGTAGTGCATCTATGGACCCGCAAAAACGATGTGGTGGTAGTCTTTCGACGCGTTTGAATTTCGCTTAGGTAAGCGCTTAAGAGGGGGATCCACAACTTTGGCGGAACCTAGTCCAAAGCAGCGTAAAATCGATCCAAAGCAGCCCAAAATTGAGAAGAGGTAAATTCGATCTGTGGCGTCGATTTACAAAAAACCAGGAAAAGGAGCAGATTCTATATGGTCTCCAATGAGGAATTTTCGACTGGGAGTAGGTTTACGATGCCCTTCCTTTGCAATATTGGCAGGAGTGAAGGAGATTGTGCGTGCCATCCTGCACGGCGCCAACACGGGTTACGCCACAGCGATACTGGCCGGAGACGGGGAATGGAAGAAGAGAATCCTTGGACACTCTATGCACTACCTCAAAAAGCAAGGCTTCCAATTACAACCCGAACCAAACAACGTTAATGGGCGCCTGGAATTCATACCGAGTGGCCCTAAGAAGGTAGACATATTGATCCCAGTTAAGCCCTTGGAAGATCCGTAACAATGAGGAATCTGTTAAGGTATGGCGAATAAATATTATCCGTAGCATGCGTTCATACAGGCACGCTCAATACATCGAAGATTCCGAGGGCCATTTGCTGGTGTGTGTAATCGTCAGCGCAATCTTGGCGCTGCAGCTTTTCAGTACAGACATTTGTGGCCAGGCCCGTAGCGGAACCGAAATTTCGGGGGGGGGGCCCAAAAATTTTGGCGACCTCCCCCGGTCGCCACTTTTTAAAAAACCGAAAATCGCGTCAATAATAGCGCCGCAGGCAAAAAAAATCGCAAAAGGCGTTCGCTACACTCAAATTCGTGCGAAAACAAGGCAGAAAACGCGCCGCAGGCGAAAATTTTCTATGAACAATTGATTCACCAATGAAAAACCAGCGCCGCAGGCAAAAAATTTTGAAAAAATAGGCTTCAAAGAAGCAAAAACTGTTAGAAAAACAGTAATAAACAGCGCCGCAGGCAGAAAAATTTTTGTAACTAAAAATCATAAGGGTCCCCCCTTATGAATTTTTCAGACCTCGACCGATTTCGGGGGGGGGGCCCAGGGCCCCCTGGGCCCCCCCTCCCCTCCTACGGGCCTGTTTGTGGCGCAACTTAAAGGGAAGCCGCAAGCCGAAATTTAAGTGTTACATGGACTCCTGGAATTTTTCAAATGTTGCGCACTTGCGACTCCAAAAACCCTTTCTCGCTCAAAACGTAGCCTCCCTCCAATCGACATCGAATTTCTTGTTGCAAATTTGCTCATTTTGTAGAGCTCAACGAGACGAATCGATTGAATTAACTTTTACCTGCGGATACTGTAATACACCCCTTAATTTTTGCCCGACCTTCATAAGCCCTCCCTGCGGCCCGTCCACCGTGGTCTGGTGGCCGAGTGGCGTAGTCTCCGGCGTCTCAGGAATCTAACGAAGGTTGGGCCCGCTCACGATTTTTATTTTTTGCTTTTTTGGCTCTAAATTTGCTTTTTGCATTCCCAGGGCCTAGACAAACTTTTTTGTGATTATTTAACCTCCATGAAGAGTTTAGATCGATAAACAGAGCTTCGGAAAAATCATGGGTAGGGAGTCACGATCCCATCATGCCTATCCCTTCGAAAATTATTTATTGTCAGCATTCGCATGTTGTTGTGGTCGTCTAGGTGCGTTAGCCGTTACTAGGAAATAAGAACCCCCTTATCACATCTGCGTTCTTATTCGAAGCTAGATCTTCAAACTACCGCAACGCCCACCTTTCAAGATGTGCATTGAAAAATTCAAATTGACCGATCTCGGGATCGAAATCAAAAATACCTCCGTCAAATCGGACAGCGATATTGCATTATTTTTCGTTTATTGTATAAAATCGCAGCGAGAAAATGGTTTAACGCTTGCGAAACAAAAAATGATGCTCACGGACTGATTGTGAAATATCCGCTGAACTATTGGCGCCGAACAAGTCAAAAATCTTTAATAGTGAAAATCTCTGAGGATGTTTGAATTTGACTCCTAAGATCATAGCAAAAATGTATCGTAATTGAATATCACAGTCCTAGCTGACATCTTAAACCCGGACTCTCGAGGTTAAAAAACGCTTTGTCAGCTCCAACAGCTTTAACTCTGTCGGGAACGAAAAATTACTAGACCTTCACAACATAGAATTGTGTAATTCGAAAAGTATGGCGCCTTGGGAGTTGATGGATAATTCTACAATTTCATCAGTCTACCGAAAATCGAACCTGGGTGAGAACGAAGGAACAATCAGGCCCTTATTCAGGCAAGTTTGTCTTTCCTACCGTATAAGGACAAAGTCTGCCTGGCAGGGAAGATGGTGATACCTGCAACATGGTGCTACTGTGGAGACGCACCAGAGCAACCAACGAATGTGTTTTAAAAAAACGTATTGTTGGAATAGACAGATTACCCTGATCCTCATTTAATTTGCATTTTTTTATCTTTCTTTTATAAATTGATCCGCTAACGCAAGAAAGCGATCTTATCGTTTGTTCAAAGGCAATTTTTAATGTTTGCACAATTCCCCTTATTATTGTCGTTAAACACAGCCCATTTCTTTCAACACTTTTCATTAATATTCCTTTTTTTACTTTTGGTAGCGGTCGGCAAAAGTGAAAACAATATCTGCCCGACTCGTTCATTAACATAAATATCTAATATCACCTTCCCAAAGCAATATATTTCCATTTTCTACAGTAGGAAAGGGGCGGGATTTCATAGGCTGACGCGCCATTACTCTCTATAAAAGCCCAAGCTTCCACCGAGAAGTCATTCGATTCTACCATTCCTTTAAAACCAGGGTTCAAAAGCCGCTTCGCGACTTTTCAACCCTGGCCCGTCTGACCCATGTTCTTTTTCGTTTTGCATACTTTTCCTGAATTCGGATGACAAAAATGAAAACCAACCGCTCCTCTCCCTTTATGCTCCTCGTCAAATCCTTACTTCCGGTCTATGCTAACTATTCCTAACAAAGAAGTTTTGACAAAAACTTAAATTTAATGTCGAAAATAGGTAATTTTATTAAATCTGCTATGCGTGCAGTCATCTTCAGGCCATTACGCACCTAATGACGTATCAAACATACCTTAAAATTCATTTCCTATCGAGATATCCTCCGGACAGACAGACGGAAGTGGATGCAAAGTGGCACACACACACACAAACACTATTTTTTTATATATAGTAGGATACCAACCCTAGGCCTTACTGCCTCAGGTTTTTTGAGGAACTGTTTTGTATTAGGTTGGAACTAAAGTTCGCGCAATATTTTTCTTTCTTTGTAATTTTCGGACCGGAGAACGGGCGAGAACCAAAATGTTTTTTGGATGACCGGATATGCAATAAAATTTTCTATTCGATGTGTGGGACGGAATCGCGTTGCTTCCCTATTAGAATTTTTTAAAGCTAGATTTAAGCGAAAATGAAAAATCGCTTCGGCCCGCCTTTATAAAACAAATTTGGCTTCCTTTTTAGGCTAATTCGGCATGCAGCTGATAGATATAACTTATTATTATAGTGATGGTCAGTTCCTATGGTGACTTTATGGCGGTTCGGAAAGATGTCCGGGTCAAAAATTTGAAGTGCCCTCGAGAGAAACGCAAAAATCTTAAAAACTACTGGGGCTAAAAACCTGTAATTTTGGTCCCACATACTCATGAACCCAATAGATAAATGCAAAGAGGGAACATCGGAATCTCGCCACTAAATTTTCAGAAAGAAATTTCCAAAGTTCGATTGCGCGAACTTATGTTCCAACCTAATAGTTAAAATGGAAATTATTATTTCACTTTTTCGTGCGGCGATACATAATTTTGGATCAGTTGCTGAGAAATATGCTTTGTCGAATGCTATCCTGTTGACTCTATTTTTGATACTTTTTAAAGCATAAACAATTGTCTGTATTTTCAGGACTGTTGTCAAAAGCTATGGAGATGAAACGCTGGGCTCTGCTCAGTGGGATGTTGCTGTTCGCTTTGGTGGTTCGAGCCAAGACGGCGGGACAAACCGTGACCGGTGACGGGCACTCTTCGTCTCCTCCTACTTCCGAGAGTCAGCTTGCAACGCTCGGGGACCAGTTGAAGATCGATTTGGTTCCAGGCAAGTACAGTGCGTGTCAAAACGATAGGTCCACCTAGTTATCCTCTGTTGTCTGGGCAGAGAAAGGTTTTCTCAAGGATTTGAAATCTGAAAACACATTTAAACTTGCACAATCTAAACATGATGTAAGTGGTCTTAGGGGTTTTCGACCTGGTAAGGACCCACCTGGGACTCGGAAATCGTCGAAGGCAGGGATACGGTCTAAGGATATTTCACAAGAAAAAAACTAGCCAGTGCTTTTGGGGGCAGTTATTTTTGCGTAGAGCTGTTTGCAAAGGATACCTTTAACACGAATCGATAGATCATCAAGCGTAGATGTCCCTAGATATGGGCGAAATTGGACCACAGATGGCCGAGCTACGGTCATGTAACATTTTGGCCTTATCCTTTGCTAGAACTTTTGTCGCTAGCTTGATAAGGAAGGGAAAGGCCCTCGTGCATTTTCCGAACAAAAACCCCGTTTTTCTAAGAAATTACTTAGTTCGGTCAACATTTTGGTTTGCTACATCAATGCTGATTCCGAGTAAGTGACAGCAAGATTGTAGCAAGCCGCCAAGGTTCCCGATCAATGTTTCTACTCTTTGCTTTATTAAGATTTTTTCACCAACGCCGTGAAGCCGCTGATGAATCATGCCAAGAAGTTAGCAGCCCCTGTACTGGACACGATCGGAACTGCATTCGAAAAGTTCGACGTCTTCAAGGACGCCCTTGGAGGGATCGCCAAACTCATGACCCCCGTTGCCCAGATCCTTGCGCCGAAACTTCTACCCATGTCACAGGTGCGCGATTTAAAGCAGACCAAATAGAGATATGTTTGATACAAACCGCCAAATTGCAAGACATGGTCTTTTTACCGGCCGTCTTTTGGTGACAATCAGGTTTCCGCACAGGACCAAGCCTATCTTGTGTAGAATTTTGCGCGAATTCCAAAACTCAAAAACTGTGAAACGACCAGATTCAAAAAGCTATGAAGCTTGTCATGGCAAAAAGAGCAAAAATTTAGGCCTTCGTCGCCGTTAAAACTTTTAAAACTTTTTGTATCTGATCGTTTCACAACGTTTGAAACCCGGTTCGTAAACCGTGCAAAATTCTGCACAAGACGGGCTCGAGACACGCAAAGTCGACGTTCAGTTAAAAACGTCTCCTTGTCGGTTCATTGTGCTGGCTTTTAATCAAATTGTAATCATAATGTATTTCAGGATGGTCCGGAAGAGGTCGTGGTCGTTGAGAATCCCCAGCTGGAAGCGGAAATCAAGAAGGCCTACGATTCACTGTCTAGTTTTTTGAAAGAGGAGGCCGTATTCCTCGGCGCTGCGGTGGATAACGCCGCTCAGGCGATCAAGGCTACCATCAAAAACATGGACTATCATAGTGTAAGTCACCACTATTTTTTTTCAGTGTTTTGGGATGGGCTTGAACTCTTTTCTTATGGCGCCCTGCCTTACCAGACGTTTCAGGTCCTGAAAGGGCCTGGTCGAAAGGCTCCAAGACCCGATATGACACTATGCCGCTATTTAAGCACGAAAAAAATTGAAAATATAAGGAAAGACCATTTTACCCACTGTCCTTTGCCAAGATTTTTTCGGGTGAACTAAACTTTAACATTTTAGCAAGTGAGCAGTGAGCTAACCGCGATGCTGCAACAATTTTCGTTGCCACCATTGACGTTTAAAATTGCGGAGCAACGCGCCCGATACAGGAACATGAAGAGGTTGTGCCAAAAACTGGACAAAATCGAAGACGTGGGTTGAAAAATTCAAAAATCGATTAAGAAATGCCCGTGGAATGTTTTTTTTAGATATTAGAACATTTCCTCCAAAATACCCATCTCTGAAATGAGCACTGTACAGGGCTTTACGCCATTTCCAAAACAGCGATTTGGCGCCCACAACTGTTATTTTGCGTTTTAGCAACGAAAAAATTTTCTGTTACTAGGGAGTGCCCCTTCAATTTTTTGACTCGTGAGTGCGACACCCGAGCACACGGGATTTTACTTCGTTGTCCCGTTATATGAATTGTTAGTTAATGAATTTTTTCCGGGCGCTATCTGGCTAACAAGGAAATGAAAAGAGTTGTAAGAAAATTTGCTAGGTGAAACCAGGTCGGCACCTTATTTTCTCTCAAAATCGGGAGCAATAATTAGCGTAAGCCGCTATTAAAGCGCCAAATTGACGAAATTTCTGCATGATGTTGGCGGGAACCTTAAAGGTACACTAAAGTCTCGTTGGATTGGTTACCGGCCGGTAACCGTCTGCGGGATAGCAAACAAGATTACGGTAGGCGCTCGCCGCGGAGCAAAACCGAACCCTGACTGCCAGCTTGGGGCAGCGCCTTGGACCACTAGGCCAAGGCAGAGACGGGAAGGGGTTGGGGGAGAGGCCATAAGAAGGGGCTGGGTTGGCTGAGGCAGAGAGCCCAAACTTCCTACCGCGACCGAACTTTTTGAACGAGATTTTAGTGTACCTTTAAAAGCAATTTTTTTAACTCCCATCTCCCATCCTAAACTCCGAATAACGATGTTCAGTTTTTATTGTTGTTTGTTCGGATTTTAATTGGCAAGCACTTCCAGATCTTCCGTTACAAGAACACGGTCAACTGTGCAACCTCGACCGGAGATGTCACGCGAAGATTATTGAAGATATTCGGCCAAGTGGAAATGAAACCGGACGAAAAGCATGGTAACCGACTGGATTCGATGCGCACAGCACCTATTGCAAAATTTAGAGCTGGCCAACAACCTATATCTCATCAACCAGCCAGAAGCGCTAAAGTATCTGGACCAGATGGAAAAGACGGTTGAACGAGAGCTTCGATCGGCAAATGCCTCGCGGGGTTTGTCCATTTCGGTGCACCAGCCAATAACCAGTTTTGAGACAATCTTGGGAATGCAAACCATATAATCTAAAGCCCCGAAAAATAAGACAGTCGAGGTGACGGTATTTGCATTCTCACAGGTATCGTACAAAACCGTTTTTGTTCAAGCTCTCCGTCAAAACATAATTTCTGAATTCTGAGCCGTTTTTTTTTCAATGCTCCCCTTTACATAGCATAGATCTTTTAAAAATTTCAGTTTTTCCTTTCAGTTCTGTTTTCATTTTTCCACTTTTTCAGAATCTGCGAAACGACGTATATAAGAACGTAATGATTTGGCCATTTTGGGCCTTTTCAGATTTAAAAGGCCATCCGCGGGTCACTCGAACAGTCCCCATTATAGCTTGGCACAGTTTTTTTCGACCCTGTTTTTTTGACGGCATCGGATAGAGCATAGTCGAATTAGTAGGGCTGCATAGTTTTGAAAGTTTAAAAAGTTAATTTTGAGTGTTTAAATGGGCCTCAAAGTTGCCAACCCCGAAAAACTATCTCGAAAGCTACTGCACCGAATTTGCTGAAAAATTGTGACAATACCTAATTTGGGATGGCGATCATTTCTCTAATGCATCGCAAAGCGCTAAAATAACCGCAACATGGCTAAATCGAAAAGTAAAACCAGTTTTTCGAGATTTTCGAATTTTTAGTATTCCGAGCGCAACTTGAAACTAGCATAGAAAGATGCGCGAGATTTTTCTGAATCGATTGGTGTATCGTTTAGCTTGCGCTAGGAATACTAACATTGAAAAAAATCGCGATTTGTAGGCGAAAAACGCGGAAAAAATGTCCCATAAAAATACAAATTTGTTAATTTTGTTAATCTGAGGTATCAAAACGCATCTAGAAGCCAAGCCGAAGCGATTGCAAAAAAGAGCAAAAAGAAATTTCCTTTCTTTCGAAATCGCGGAATCGAACCCGGACCCTCCGCCTGGGAGCCCTGTGGCGCAATGAGTAGAGCGTCCGCGTACCAATCCAGAGCCGCCGCTAGTTCAATCCCGGCCCCCTCTTAGAAGCCGAATTTCTTTTTGCTCTTTTTTGCAATCGCTTCGGCTTGGCTTCTAGATGCGTTTTGATACCTCAGATTAACAAAATTAACAAATTTGTATTTTTATGGGACATTTTTTCGGCGTTTTTCGCCTACAAATCGCGATTTTTTTTCAATATTAGTATTCCTAGCGCAAGCTAAACGATACACCAATCGATTCAGAAAAATCTCGCGCATCTTTCTATGCTAGTTTCAAGTTGCGCTCGGAATACTAAAAATTCGAAAATCTCGAAAAACTGGTTTTACTTTTCGATTTAGCCATGTTGCGGTTATTTTAGCGCTTTGCGATGTATTAGAGAAATGATCGCCATCCCAAATTAGGTATTGTCACAATTTTTCAGCAAATTCGGTGCAGTAGCTTTCGAGATAGTTTTTCGGGGTTGGCAACTTTGAGGCCCATTTAAACACTCAAAATTAACTTTTTAAACTTTCAAAACTATGCAGCCCTACTAATTCGACTATGCTCTATCCGATGCCGTCAAAAAAACAGGGTCGAAAAAACTGTGCCAAGCCTATTTCGGTCCACCCGCAAACGGCCTTTTAAAGCTTCGTAACCTTTCAAATATGGTCGTTTCGCAGATTCTGAAAACGAAGGGTTTTCTTCAGCGTAAAATCCCCCGGAAGTCACTTGCCTTGATGCCGCGATTTTAAAAGTAAAGTCAAGTTTAATTTCAAAAACCTCATTTGATAGAGAAAAAATTTGTGGAAACGATGGCAATATGCATTTCGGGCAATCAGCCGGACGCTCACAATAATCACAATAATCGAGCTTCAGTTCCAAGCTTTTCGGCGAAGAAGAAAGTTAAAAGCTCCACAATTTTTAAACAAAAACCATTCTGCAGTTTCTGGATTAAGGCTCGGAATCAGCGAAAAATTCTGCACAAGTTAGGCATGGTCTCAAACCCAATTTCCACTCTGACGCAAAAACCCTTTACTGTAAGCTAATAAAGGAGCCCTCCGAGAGATAATTGAAAACCTTTAATGGTGCATGGATTGACCAAAGTGATAAGGCGTGTTTTTATTTCACAACCAGGGTTGAAAAGCCGCTTCGCGACTTTTCAAGAACTTGAGCTCTCAGAGTACGACGAAGAAGCAAGACTTTTCAACCCTGGCCCCGTCTCGGACCCCATACTATTCTGCCCTTTGCATACTTGTCCTTCATCCAGAAGACAAAAAAAATGAAAAACAATCCCTTCTGCCTCTTTATATAGGCGACCGCCCACTTCCGGTCTATGCTAATTATACCTAACAAAGAGGTTTTTACAAAAACCTAAATTTAATAGCGAAAATGGCTAATTTTGTTAAATCTGATATGTGTGCAGTCATCCCTAGACCATTACGCACCTAATGACGTATCATACGTAGCCTAATACCCGTCCCTTCTTGAGATATCCTCCGGACAGACAGACGGAAGTGGATGCAAAGTGGCACACACACACACAAACACTATTTTTTTATATATTTTCACAATTATTGAAAACACGCACAGAGCTGGGCGATGACCTGTTTTGGAACACGGATTTTAGATGGGTTGCCGCCTGGCAAACAGCTGTTCGCCGGCATTCTCAATCACACCAATGCTCGAATCAAGAGAGATCCGACATCGACGCCCCTGTTCAGGTATTTGGACTACCTCGCCCCTTAGAGCTCAGGTCGTATTACCAGAATTTTACTGGCCAGGATTTTTTAACATTTGCTCAGTCTTGGGAAGGGGGAAGGCATTTTATGGCCCGGAAGTAAGGTAGTTGGGGGTAATCGAGAGCGTAGATTACTGCACGCTTATCAATTTTTTAATGAAACGGCGTTTTGAATTTCATTTTAACGTTTTTAAACACATGTAAATACACATACATGCATACGGCTATTCTTTGATTAATACTTTGCGGCGGTCGGAATCGGTAGCTCACGTAATTCCTGTCGTGTTGAGATCCTAGCGTAATTCGGAGTATCGTTGAAAATTACAATATTCGAAGTGCCCGCGTATCAACGGTTCCCGACGAGGCTAGAGGTGAAAGCCGCGTAACGGCCTTGCAACCTTGGTCCGATTTCAATTGGACACCGACCCCAAAATACAACATTAAAAAATTAGCTGCATGCCGCAAGTGGTGATGGCAACGTCACGCCTTTCGCAAGAAGAGGTGACTAACTACATGAAATTGGTCAACGCCAATACCGTCCAGATAGTAAGTTGTGTGCAATACGCAAAATTTATCCTTCGGCAATACTTTGCCACGCCCAGGTGCTAAATTATTTTTTGGTGCAAGTAAACCTTTTTGTCGACACGGTTTTCCCGCACATCACCCCCGTAAAACAACTGATTGCAATAAACAAGTCTTTCAGATGGAACTGGCCACTACCTGTTACCCGCTCCTAATGCCGAAACTAAAATCTCAAGCGGAGCGGTTCGAGGCTTTGGAAAAACGCATGGCGGACACGGTGGCTTCAGTCGCAGAAATCGTGCAGAAGGGCATGGTAAGTGTCCCTGTTTTTGAGATATGGCTAGAAACTTTCCTTTTATGCTGCTCATACGCAGGGAAACAATCTTACGCCGAAGATTTATCAGCGCCTTTCACACACCATCCGAAAAACGACCTTTGGCCGATTACAAAACTTGGTGACTTTTTCGTGGCCCTTTTGCAGGCGGTTCGAAATTCCGGTTCAATTTTTGTTAGCAAACTCGGACTGCCCAATGATAAAATAGCCGACCAAGAAAGGTTCTTGTAAGGTGCACGCTCTATCTTCCTATCTTGCCTTCCGAGGGTCCGGTCTTTTTGCATAATCACCGACTTTTGGCCGTGTTCAATACGAGATGCTAAGCAACTTACGCCAAATTGCCCAGCATAACGCTTCAACAATCTTGAAGTGACTAATAACAACAACTTTTTGAAAAATGGGGTGTACAGGGTGTCCCAAAAAAAACGACCCATCTGGCATTTCGCCGGGTTACATCCAATCGGCCTCAAATTTGGACCAGAGGTGTATCAGACCCTAAATAACAACAATCGTGACTTATAGCCCTGTAGCTATGGTAGTTCTCGAGTTATAACGAACACAAACTTTATTTTCCATTTTTCATAGGGTTTTCGTGGAAATAGGCCCCCTAAACATTAAGCGTAAATGATCCGGTAGGCCTTTTTTATCCTAAGAAATTTTTCCAGAGTAAAATTAATTAAATAAGCTTCGATTTAAGCGATTTTACAACGCAAAACTACCCAAGTTCTTAAACGAAATTAGGGATTCACAGCCGGAAGTCGATGCAATTCGATGCAAATTCCAAAAAGATAGCCGAAAAAACTGTTCAGAATTCCGGGAAAAACAGTATTTTCGTTATAACTCGAGAACGACGATAGCTACGGGGCTAAAAGTCAGGATTGTTGTTATTTAGGGTCTGATACACCTTTGGCCCAAACTTGGGACCAATTGGATGTAACCCGGCGAAATGCCAGATGGGTCGTTTTTTTTGGGACACCCTGTATAACTGTTTGCTTAGAACGACTTCCAAGACATGGAGAACCTCATGATCCAGCAGACATCCGATGTAAATCGAAAGCTGCCATTGGAGAGCCTCCTGATCGAATTGAAAAAGAAGATGCACAAGCATGGACCATACGGGTATCAAATTTTGCAAACTAATTTCTGATCCGCTACGCGCTCTAGCTTTTCGAGCCCGAGATTTCTTTAGCTACAAGATCTGGCACACCATACGGTGACAGAACATGCGCAAAAACAGCACCTATTGATGTCGTGCGCAAAAGCTTTGTAGCAAATACCGTTCGATAGAAAATTCAATTCTGAACAAGTTCTTTTTGTTCGATTTAGTGGAATGGCGTACTGGATTTTATAACAAACCAAAACAGGCATTTTCGTGGTCTTTCGAAAACACTGTCAAGGGTTGGACTTCTCTGAAATCGGCGGTCGGTTAATATGGACATAGGGCTGCTAGATGTGACTTTTAAACATTTTCCTAATTAAACATTTTTTTAGCTGCTGTTCGATAAAGCTTCCAAAATTTGCCCAGAATTTTCCAGTTAGGCTCAAAATCCCAAGGCACAAACACCATCGCGCAATTTATTTTAGGATGGAACGAACTTACATTGCTGTAAGAGCAGACAAGCAAGACCTCTACACTTCTTGCCCACAAGCCACATGTGGTTCCCACATGCTTCATAGCCAGAACAACACGTACACCACGCTAATCATGACAATTCGCTACACCGACCGGTCGCCAAGCCTCGCCGAAAATACCGACTTCCACAAAGCGGCCATCTCCATCACACGGAAAATGCCGGTCTTGGAGCAGTACGTTATTTGCACACAGGGTCGCAAAATCTTGTTTTTTTCCACGAAAAACGGGTTCTGGCTTTTTGAATCTGCGGTACTGGACTGTTAGTGGGTGGAGGGGGGGGGGGGGGGGGGGTTTAGCGGGGAAGACGCAAAAATTTTTTGTTTTTTTTTTGCTTATTGATACTATATAGTATACTTTTTGCAAAGGCAGATTTTGATTGCTAGAAGCGGCAAAAAATATTTTAACATGTTTGAAAATTCGAAGACTTTTACCTTTTTTGGGTCTTTTTTTCATGCGTTTGCGCTTTGTGATCCAAAAATAAAAATTCTTGAGATTGTTCAGGAGTTCTTTATTACTAGCAACTGTGTAACTTCCCCTCCTTGTTCATTTCCGATGACAGTCCAGTAACAAATTCGCAACCGGTCTAGTTACCAGCATCAAGACCAAACACAATATCGATAGCTGGTTGATCGTTGGAGTGGTTGACTTTAGGGCACGTTCAGGGACGTTTTCGGGTAAAAAGCAACCATCTTTTACCGTGGCCGGGGGTCGAACCTGGGGCCCCCCATTCGGGAGGCGCGGAAGCATACCAGTCAGCCACAGGTGCAACCTGGCGAGGGGTCAAAGGGCGCCTCACGCCGGAAAGGAGGGGAATGGCCTGCCACGGCACGGGCAGGCCGTGCGAGCGGTCCCTACGTACATAGAGTCTATAGGTTGGGACGAGTATACGGCCCCTCCCTGAACGTGCACTTTAACCAGGTCCTTGGTCCTTTGCTTAGATTTGGAAACGTTATACTGCAGAAAATCAAAAGTAAATATTCAGATGATTTTACGAAATTTTGGAAGATGGTCTGCCTGTTTCATATATACCAATAGCTTTGCAGATTTGACGCAATATTCCGGTCGAAGCAGCCAAAAAATTACCTGGATGCCTACACGAGCCAGCGAGCTGGCTTTTCCCTCACCAACGATTACGTCAAACACTGGATCGCAGTGAAAGTAAACGGAACACTGCCGAACGAGTTCGAGGCAGTTGCTTTGGAACCGGGTAGGCATGGGGCAATTACCGGAGAAGCTAAAAAGGGATCCGTTCAGTTCCCCGGGGAAAATTTCTGAAAGTGACGGGTAAGGAATGACGCGAACACCCCAAAAGTGAAAAGCTAGAACGTTTCGGCCTCCGGAATAGACAAAGAAAATCAAGTTAGAAATTTAGCATACGCTTCAATTGATCAAATTTCGAAAGTAGGCTAGTTACTACTCATTATGGTCGGAGAGTTCCCTTCTTAGCACAGTTTCTATGAATTTTACTTGGGGTCGATGTTTTCTCGGAAGCGAATCTCCCTTGCCACGGAATGGATGTCCGAAACTGCAGGAGCGCAGTTGGAAACCCCTAGGGAGGGAGTTGCTTTTAAAGTAACACCATGCCGTATTTCCTGATTTTGATCGGCACTCTATAAGACTTTTCAGGCACTGAAAAGCCGGTCAAACTTGGCGGTACCGAGGCGATGACCGGTGGAATTTTTTTCAACAATGGCACTGGGGCCCGGTTTTTGCTCGCCCTCTTCCCATAAACGCGAATAAAAAGAGACTTATGACTTTCGAGCTACTAATATGCAAATTACAACGAGACCCAATGGTTTGGGACACGGTGGGCGTGGGCAGGGGAGGGGGGTGAACCATGGGCATTCAACAAATACTCTTACCCGTCCATGAGACTTACCATCGGGCTTCTAGCCAAATCATGAATTTACGAGCCCTGACGGCAAAAAAACGCTCTTTAGAATTTCCGCAGGGGGGGGGGCAAACCCCCGGGGGTGGGGAACCAGCTTTTTCGCGGCCCAAGCTATTTCCAGCCGATTTCTCTGCCGTCAGGCCGAATTTTGAGCTGATTTTTGGCATGGAGGTTTCTAAATTCCTTCATTTAACGGTTTTACAAGCAAAATAGTGAAAAATCCTTAACATCTCGGCCGAGAAAAGGTTTGTTCGGAGAATATCTCGATTGCCAGCCCGAATTGGGCGCTAATTTTTGGAGGGTAGATGGGAAATACTATTCTCCCGATATATAATTCTGCGTTTTGTCACATTTCGTAAAATAAAGTTTTTATGCGCATTTTTCTAAAAACTCCTTAACAAAATGGGGGGTATAGCCGTGGTGTCCGGGGCATCACTCGAAGCCCAAATGGAATTTCGGGCTAAGTTAATGTTAAAAAGTTGGTAGGCAATCGCGCTACCAATACACCAATGCAATCTGTGATGGAGGTCTTGGCGGAAGGTTATGAATAGCGCCTTCCTCAGCCCCGAAAACGACGCGAACCGAGGAAATGGACGCGTAAACTAGAAAAAAAGCGCGAACTTTAAATTAAATTTTCTAAAATTCCTCTATCGATCAGCACTTTTTGAAAATGGTATGGTGTTTAGAATTTTTTCTCTATCGAACTAGCTGGGTCCCGTCCAGAAACTCCAAAAGCACCTAAAAGCGACTCCTTGTTAGGTGCATCTTATTAGATTTGGTCCCCAAGGGTAGGAAGAGGCCTGTCCCGCATCGCACCCCCAACTCCCTGTGGTGTGATGGATTCGCATTAGGCTCACGTTGCTAGGATCATGGGTTCGGATCCGCCGCTGTGACAACTTTTTGCATTTTGGTAATTCATCAAACAAACTTATTGCTTGGCTCTCCGTATGCGAGATTTAGGCCTGGCCCTCACTCTAGCGCCGCAGGCTAAAGGAAAGGTCCTTGGCCCGGGCTCTCGCGCCGCAGGCCAAATCCCGGAGAAAAAGCAGTAACTAGGCTCAAAGATTCTAGAGCAACGTTGGCTCTGGCGCCGCAGGCCATGGATGGTTCCTTGCCCCAGACTCTCGCGCCACAGGCTAAATCCGGGGGGAAAAGTGGTAGCTGGCGTCGCAGGCTCAAAGATTGGAGCGCAACGCTGGCTTGCGCCGCAGGCTTCAAACAAAGGAAAGAGAATTCATGAGTCCTAGACGGGGTCCAGTCGAAAAGGGCCGCGAAGCGGACTTTTTTCACTGGGTTTATACAGGGTGTCCCATAAAAAAGCACCCCTCCCGCATTTCGCCATTTTGCGTCCGATCGGTCCCAAATTTGGACAAGGGGGTATTGGACCCTAAATAACCACAATCCTGAGTTATAGCCAGGCCCGTAGCGGAACCGAAATTTCGGGGGGGGGCGGGGGGCCAAAAATTTTGGCGACCACCCCCCGTCGCCACTTTTAAAACATCCGAAAATCGCGTCAATAATAGCGCCGCAGGCAAAAAAATAGCAAAAAAGCGTTTGCTACACTCAAATTCGTGTGAAAACACGGCAGAAAACGCGCCGCAGGCGAAAATTTTTATGAAAAATTGCTTCACTAATGAAAAACCAGCGCCGCAGGCAAAAAAATTTGAAAAAATAGGCTTCATATAAGTAAAAACTGTCTGAAAAACAGTAATAAATAACGCCGCAGGCAGAAAAATTTTTGTAACTAAAAAACATAAGGGTCCCCCATATGAATTTTTCGGACCCCGACCGATTTCGGGAGACCAGGGCCCCTGGGCCCCCCCTCCTACGGGCCTGGTTATAGCCCACCAGCTACAGTAGTTTTCGCGATACAGCAAAAATAGACTTCATTATCCGTTTTTCATAAGGTTTTCGTCGGAATCGACCCTTCGAATATTAAGTGAAAATCAAGCGGCAGACCTTCTTTACCCCCTAAAAATTTTTTCCTGATAAGAATTAATTAAATCACCGTTGATTTCAACAATTTTTGTAACCCAAAGTCACCCCCGACATTAAGCGAAATTAGGGATTCGCAGCCGGAAGTCGATGCAAACCGATGCAAAGTCCAAAAAGATAGCCGAAAAAACTGTTAAGAATCGCGTAAAAAATAGTATTTTGGCGATAACTCGAAAACTACTGTAGCGATCGGGCTATAAGTCAGGATTGTGGTTATTTATGGCCCGATACACCCTTGTGCCAGTATGGGACCGATTGGATGTAATAAGACGAAATACCGGAGGGGTGCTTTTTTTGGGACACCCTGTATATCCCACCTTATATAATGTTGGGGTGTATCTCTGTGTGTGTGTGTGGATGTCACTTTGGAGGCCCGATTTAAGGTCCATCCCCTGGATAAAATGCGCTAATTCTTCGTCACCCGGGGGAATCGACCCTCCTCTTTCCGATGGCCTTTTCAGAATTGCAATAAAATACAAGTTTACAAAGTTAAAGCCGGTTTTATTCATTTTTGGGGGTCCCTGAGGGCTAATTTGCATAATGCGGAAAAATACAAATTTCCTCATTCTTGCCAGTTGCACTCGCGTGTGTGGCCGGTGGGGGGAAAGGGTCCGAAGGACCCGAGCTATCGGGAAGTCAAATTGTTCATGCAGAGGCCGCATTCCAGCGCCCAAGGCCCGCGAAGTGGGTTTTGGGCGTTGGTATTGGATGAGTTTCTACAGTCTGTGTGACTGTTCTTAAGCATAAACACCTGACAAATCCTACTATATATAAAAAGTGTGTGTGTGTTTTTTTTAAATTCGATATTTAAGCCACTAAACGGCTTTTTCGCGGCTTGGGACCATGCTCATCAAATTCTACAGCATCGGAAACACTAGGAAACATTCCGTTTCGCGCAAAATATAACGAGGCAACCGGATTACAAGAGCTTCATGGGTGTTGCCTTCTTTATGCACGCTACCGTACCCGGGGTAGCCGCGAGCGTTTTTCGAGATTCCACCGTGCCAACCTGGGGTTTTCTGATCGGATTGCGGTAGGCCAGTTGTGGCTGACACAAAACCGTCCATGGGAGAAACACCATGGCTTTATCGTTCGTTGAATTTAGATGAAAAGCCGGAAGTGAATGATCATAAGGAACACGATAATGGGGAAGGCGAGGGTATTCGGGGAAGAATTCTTTTGCTTTTCGGCTTCTTCCGATTTGCGCTGCTTCTCGGCTTCTTCGGCCTTCAGATCTTCGGCCTTCTTGACCTCGGCCTTGAGCCAGTTCACCGCCTCATGGTTGCAAAAGTCGGTCGAATTGCAGCCGTAGAACCAGCCAACCGCTAAATTATTTTTTTGGATTTGCTTACCCGACAACGCCTATTTAGCCAGCGAAAATACCTCCTTTCTCGTCGGTAAAGTTGTAAGCGCCGTCCTGCCATTGCGCCATAGGATAATCGACACATCCCTTCACATGCAATACTTTTCCGTCTTCATATTCGAGATGCAGTTGGGCACAACGATAGCTTTCGCAAAGGCTAACGGCCTAAAATAATAGTTGCTCTAGTTGTCGGTAAGGCGGTGAGGGGATTTTTAGACGGGAGGAGGGAGGATTAAATCCATTTTTTTTTCAATATTTTCGTTATTTTCTCCGGATTTTTGCCACACCATTCGATAGCGATAGATATCTAGATAGATAGATAGATTTTCGTGTATTTTGGTCAAAAGGGCGTACTATGATTATTTGGTACAGAGAGATCAAAGAATGACGTCATCTGGGTAGCGTGATTTGGAAATACGACCGATTCACCAGCCACCCATCCAGCTGGTCTAATATGATTTTGCCGTATGACCGTGTGTTGGGGGTTATAAGTAAGATTGTTGTTAATTAGTGCCTGATACAATCAGGGGGGCATCCGGTCACTACCCCGAAAAGTCATAGCATTGTTTTTCACGAAAACATCCAGTTTTCATTCGCATTTCCTATAAAAATCATGCAAATTATTTCGGGGTAGTGACTTTGCCCCAATCATGGGACCGGGGCTGAAGTGCGTTTAAGATTTGGGGTAATTTTGCGTTGTAAAAATTGCTTAAACCCCGGACATCTAAGGGCATAAAAAATAGTTTTGTGTGTGTGCATTTGCATGCAACTTCCGTCCGTATGTTCCAGTCGTATCTCAATAGGAGAGGAAGTTAAAAGTACGTATGATACGTCATTAGGTGCGTAATGCTCATGAGACGACTGCACGCCTTTGAGATTATTCAAAATCAGCAGTTTTCGATATTAAAATTAAGTTTTTGTGAAAATCTCGCTCGGCCTCTTTGTTAGGAATCAATTTGCATGCACCGGAAGTGGGGGGAAGCCTATATAATGGGGGAGAGGACGCGCTTTTCATTTTTTTTGCACAGGAATTCAGATGTTTATTCAAAGTGACGAAGTATGGGGGTTGGACGGAGGCCAGGGTTTAAAAGTCGCGAAGCGGCTTTTCAACCCTGGTCTATACTTATTTCGTTAATTCATTTATTTCATAAAAATTGATAAACATAAATTTCATTTAGTCCGCAAAGAATTTTGTTAAGGTAAAGAAGGCCTATTGAATCAGTTTCGCTTAATGATTAGGGGGGGTCAAATTCCACGCCCACCCTATGTAAAACGGAAATTAAAGTTTATTTTTTATAACTCTAAAACTACTGTAGATATGGGGCTATAAGTCAGGATTGTGATTATTTAGGGTCTGCTACACATCTGGTCCAAATTTGGGGCCGATCGGATGTAATACGGCGAAATGCCAGATGGGTGCTGTTTTTTGGGACACCCTGTATGGACATGGGAATAACTTAGACACATGCCCGAACGTTTGTTTTCCCACAGATACTGTGAAAGCGCTTTGCGCTTTTCTACTAAAGCTCCTCACCGCGGAAGTCGGGCATAGGTTGCTGTGCACTGGGTGGGGAAATTCCTGATGTGGCATCATCTGCCGAAGAATACCGCGGCTGAAAATGCGTGCATGAAGGAAAGGGGACTTGAGTGCAGTTACCCGCTTGAGCAGA